ATACCTGTTCGAAGGCAATTACAATTGTGTACTGGAATAAGGCTAGAATAAAATCCTAACATGTTGGATTAACTTTGAGGTTCCAGTGTGTGCTAAGGTTTTGCTATATTTCCTAAGACTGTCACCTGAAAGGACCTAGAAAAAAGAACATCCCAGGAACAAGCAAACTCGCCATCTAGACTTGGTTTCCAAGTATAATTCCCAATGAAGGGAACCAGGAGTCCTTGGGGAAAATAGCCAGTTTCAGAGGCGGAACCAAAAAAAATTCCATGATAAACCCAGAAAGGGCTCCCCTGGTGGCTCAGTGGTAAAGAATTTCTTGCAATGCACATGATGCAGGAGACATGGGTTCCAATCCCTGATCCAGGAAGATCCCCTGGGCAGTGGAAACAGCAACCCAACCTTACCTGGAGAACCCCTTGGACAGAGAAGTCTGGCGGACTACAGTCCATGGGGGTCACACATGACTTAGCGATGAGTTTTGAGATTGAAGTGTAGAAAATCTTTTTGAGCTATAAAGTATGCAAGTTCACAAATGGGACACCCAGAAAGCACACAGGGATCAGGTGTAAAAGGATACCACTGATCGAATCTGAGATTATTTAAGCGTCAAAATGAATTGTATGTTGTAAAACTTTCTGATTTTAATTGTACTGTGAATTTCATCCTACTGAAAATACAGTGTTTAGAGGATAAAGGTGCACAATGTCTACAACATTGCCAAATAGCTTAGGAAAAAGATATATACATAAATTTAGAACCATGTAGAAAGTCAATAAATGGTGATTTTGTGTCAAAGAATATGCAGGAATTCTTTTAAAGATTCTAATTTTAGAGTTAAAAGTTGCAATATTGATAAGGGTTCCCCCACAAAAAGCAACCTGGACATTTAAGCAGATGCATTGCAGATAGCCTTGAACCTAGCTTCCCCTTCCTTTGCCACACTACCCTAACTTCAGTCCCAGCCTCTAACCAGCCCCAGTGTTCTTCACAGTTGGCCCAGTCACCGCATGTCTTACAGCCGTCCACGGCGGCATCACCGCCTGGAGCCGCCCATGGCTCGGTCCCGTAGCCCAAGCTCCGTGCTGCCTTGCAGGCGCCGAGGACAGCCCCACTCCAGGGCCTTCACGGTTGGCCCGGTCACAGCATCACCTGGAGCCGCCCATGGCTCGGTCCCGTAAGCCTGGCGCTGAGGACAGCCCTCCTTCAGGCCTTCACAGGCCGTGCTCACCTTCAGCTGCTCTACCCTCCATCCCTCGCCACACAGATATGTGCTCCCAGCTAAAAGCACAAGATTTGAGTGTTTTAGCAGACACGACCACTCCATCAAAGTTTCTAAACCACAATTACCTTAAGTTCATGAATAAAAAAAACTTGAGTATTAACATCACTAATTCTTGATATGAGATCTGTCCGCTTCTGGCACTGGCGTTTTTCAGCACTTACACGCAGTTACTCGTTTCTCAATTTAAAACCGCCTTTCTGAAGAGCCAGGCTGGCAGAAGCGGAACAGATGCAGCAGCGGGCCTTCCGCGAGCTCACCTCCTGAGGCCCGGCCCGCGGCCCGCGGCGGGCTGTGACCTGTGAGCAGAGGCAGAGGCGGCGGCGACCCCGCCAACCAAACGGAAAGCAGCGCTCGAGGCTAACGCACCTGCTCAGGCCACGCAGGTGGGAGGCTAGACGTGCTGAGTTTCAAGATAATAAAGCTCTACAAAAGCTATAAACTATCATTTTTCAATATGGAAATTAAGCAATATGATTACCAACTTATTTCCTGCTGGCAATTTATTGTTGCTAAGTTGTTAAGCTTCATTTCTTATTTATTCCACACTTGAGAAAATTAGTCAATACCTCAATTTTTTAAAAAGCTGAAAAACAAAGTACAGTAATAATGTAAAATTGAACAAAAGATACAGCTTATATTGTATTTTTGAAAATATAATTAACTGAATACATCAATTTTCCTAATAAACATTTATCCTTAAAAGTAATTCCACATCCCAACAAAGATGTTGCCATTTCTCTGAAGTCAGTAAGCAATCTTAACTAGTCCAAGAACTTGGCTTTTCCTCCAAGTTAAATTTTTAGCATCTGGATTTTTAAACTAGTATACAAAATCACCACTATATATATATCTATGTTAATTTCACCATTTTCATTTACATTTACTTTTTAGCTATTAGAGACTTGGTGCTTTTAAGTAGCAAACTACCTAAATTATAAACATGTATTTTCAAAACAAAAATCCAGTTCACAATTATATATACAGTGCAGAAGATTAAAAACTACATTAGCATGTGATTTCTTTTTCCTAAGGTTCCTATAAAGAATGTATGCTTGTTCTTTACTATCCATTAATTCTGTACATTTAAAACATTTGGCTTGACTTAGTCAAAAATATAAAGGCTAAAATTTTTATAAGACTAACTCATTAAAAATAGGACTCAAATTTCTAAACCAAGCCCTAAAACCAAGCATTCAAAGAATATCTGAATAGTAAATAGTTTTAGTATTTCTGCATGGTATGATGAGGTTTCACAAACAATTAAAAAGTTTTATTATTCAGTGATGGGAAAGGCCTACAACTCAGATAACCCACAAAGTCATACAGTTTTTACAAGCAGCAGTAATATAAACAGTTAATTCAGTTATCTTAAAGACCTCATCATCTACCAATCAATACCATTAACCTGTTCACAGAATGAAAATATTTCTTCAAGTCTAATGTGTCCTTTAAAGGTTTATGTGTTGCTATTAAATGTGTTAAAAAGAAATAAGAGGTAGAATCCCATTTTTTAAAGTACTGCTATGTAAGCCAATCAAGACATTTTTATGTCACATAAATACTAACACCGCTTCAGTGAACTAGGTAGCTTTCAGAGAGCCATGTTAAACTAAAAACTAATCCATTTATGGAACTGTTGTTCTCTGATTACCATATTGAGTAACCATAAAGATATAAAAAAATCTTAAGTGTATTATTTTGGAGGTATTCGTATGGGATTTTACCATTTCTAGAAAGAAATGAGAGAATTTTTTGGTAGTCACGGCCTGGACTAAAGAAAAGTAGAAATTGAAAATGTAAAGACAGAATCCGAAGGGCCTCAAGAACATCTGTAGTAACAGAGCATAATCTGCAGAACATGAAATTCCTTCCTTTCCAGTCTTCCAAACAAACTCCACTTAGCAGGGCTTGGGAGGCTGCTCTTAAAATTACATATTTTACAGGCCATCATGGCCTAAGCACAGAATAGCCTACTTAAAATATCTTCACTCTTCTTCTTAAAAAAAAGTATATATACTCATTCTTTTTCAAAAATGACCCAAAATATCACCAGTACATTTTATAAAATTAAATGCAAATTTTATTAAGGATTTCAAATTACATATATCAAATTTCTAAAATGGAATAGAACCATCTTGAAACTGGAGAGATGGCATTGATGAACAGATATCCCTTGAAACTCCAACTTTATTTAAAAAAAAAAATAATTCCTCTGCAGACCATATTCCCCCGATATAACAAGAAATAGTTATCTATCTCTTCACTTTGGCAACCGCTATTTCCTAAAGGAAGAGTTTTGCTGCTACTTTTAAGTTCATTAAAAATGGGATTCTATCTTCAGATTAAAATTTTTTAGTTCAGAAGAAGCTGTGTTCAAATGAGCTATGGGTACAAAAAAAAAAAAATCACTGCAGAATGTCTAATTAAAACAAGCAAAATCATTTTGAAAATGAAGAGGAAAAACAGAAGGTATTTTCATGGCATTTTTTATGAACTACTGCAACTGGTTAAGGATTTCCAGTAGGTACTTAAAATCTCAGGAGGAATGGATAGTACTATACAAATAACAAAATGTGTTTATATTCTAAGACCTTAATACTAAATTTTCAAAACAGAAGCTCTATCACCTCTAAAAATGAGCCCAATGTTAATTTTATTAAAACCAGGAATTCTAGGCTTTCCTATAATTATAACCCAATTAGTCCACTCTGTCAAACCTTTAATATTCATCCCCAAAAGTAACAGTATTTAGCCTGAGGTATTTTAAATGTGGCTCTACAGTCCTGAATTTAATGGCATTTCCCGCCTCTAACAATGAATGGTCTTATCTCCACTTTAGTTCCATGACATCTATAGTATTTACTACAATATAGTCAGAATTAAAATAGCTGGAAAAAATCCTAGGACCCCTTGAAACAGCTGCTCATTACCTACTTCTGTTAAAACAGGAGACACACAAAGGTCTACAAGTGTTTCCCGACTGGATCCAGAATAAAGGTACTTATACTTCGTTTACCAGTTCAACTATGCATATCAAGCCTTGGTATAATTAAGATGTTGAATATCACATACTTATGGTACAACAGGTCCAAAGTTTTGAGGTTTTAATGCAACTGAGAAACATTTCATAAAATTTTTAACTTAATATGCCTTAACACATCTATCAGGAGGAATGGATAGTACTATACAAATAACAAAATGTGTTTATATTCTAAGACCTTAATACTAAATTTTTAAAACAGAAGCTCTATCACCTCTAAAAATGAGCCCAATGTAATTTTATTAAAACCAGGAATTCTAGGCTTTCCTATAATTATAACCCAATTAGTCCACTCTGTCAAACCTTTAATATTCATCCCCAAAAGTAACAGTATTTAGCCTGAGGTATTTTAAATGTGGCTCTACAGTCCTGAATTTAATGGCATTTCCCGCCTCTAACAATGAATGGTCTTATCTCCACTTTAGTTCCATGACATCTATAGTATTTACTACAATATAGTCAGAATTAAAATAGCTGGAAAAAATCCTAGGACCCCTTGAAACAGCTGCTCATTACCTACTTCTGTTAAAACAGGAGACACACAAAGGTCTACAAGTGTTTCCCGACTGGATCCAGAATAAAGGTACTTATACTTCGTTTACCAGTTCAACTATGCATATCAAGCCTTGGTATAATTAAGATGTTGAATATCACATACTTATGGTACAACAGGTCCAAAGTTTTGAGGTTTTAATGCAACTGAGAAACATTTCATAAAATTTTTAACTTAATATGCCTTAACACATCTGTGAGGTAGTTAAGTCAACAGTACTACCCATTTTAATACAGTCAAACAAAAGGCAAGGGTAAATAAATGACACATTTTAAGCAGTAAGAACTGGAATTGACCGTAAGGCTCGGGGCCTGCAGTCTAGTTACGACCAAAGGAAATGAAATTTAACCTTTTACTCTTTCTATGAAAACCATTAAATCATTTAAGAATTTATCTTTTTTTAAAATACTTTCTTATTAGTAGATACAGTAGTACCTCTTCCAAATTTGGCACCCTTTTCTTCAGTAATATGGTAAACTGGGTACATAATTAAAGCTAGGCCTCTGCTTCTACCTGAATTAGTACAAAATTAAGACATTATCTTTTGAGAACTAAAATTATATGACATTTTTATTTTAGGCTGCAAAAACAAAAATGAGCAAACAAACAAACAACAAAAAACTTGAAATAGGCTTGTCAAATGATGTAAATTCATCCTTTCCAGGAAAGCAGAAGGTAGATCCTACCACAAAGAAAAGATGCTTAGTTAATGGAGGTTAAATTTTAGAAGTACAATTAAAAATAATGAGGCATAACTTCTGAAAATACTAGGTTTTATTCACCTCCCTATGATAACCAATAACCATACTATTAGTTAATAAGCTTTTCTTATAGTAACTAATGTCACCTGACATACAAAAACCTGTTAATCTAAATTATCAGGTGTAGTCTTACTGGAAATTCTTAACCATATACTTGACAAGTTTTGCTTTTTAAATGATGAATTGTCTTAATGTAAGTCATTGTATTTCTGTAACAAAGTAATGAAAGGCACAGCTCTTGCAAGCAAACTTAAACCCATTCAACCAGCTGAAAAAATACTTTGGTTCTTCAGGAAAAAAACTTAGCAAGACAAAAAAATCTGGTTCATTTCACAGTTCTATTCATTTTCATAACTTTAATCTAACAGTTACACGATAAAAATACTCCAAGAAGAACCAAACTATATAGCAACGGACGAACATGCGTGAGAGATTCTGTGCATTCGATGCAGCTGGCAGAAAAACTAGTTAAAATGCTAAATAGAACAAATTTGGTCTTTAAAATATCAGTTCCTTTCCTTTAAAAAAAACTTCTGAGTCTACCAAGAAAATACAAAAACATAAGGCTGTAAGTAAATAAGAGTTGTGTTTAGGCTATTACAGTGCAGGTTATCCTCAAGGCCACATACATCCTGCTTCACTGCTGCTTGCATTCTGCTGGGTTTTGATCCTTCTGTTAAAGGAAAACAACAAGTCAATCTATCTTTTTCTATCTGCTTCAGGTAATTTTTCAATAATAATTATTTTAACTATCACATTATCTCACTGTTCTGTCAAAGTTTTTACCAAATTTAAAAAAAGTGATATAGTAATGATAGCAAATTATTCATTCAAATATTACACAGTCATGAAAATGCTGAAAACAAAGTCCTGATTTTACAGTGTAGAATGAACTCCATAAAGTGAAACACATTAAAGTATAATCTTAAAACAGTCAAACAAATTCTAAGTCATATCACCAATTGTTTTTGCCTTTCAAAAATACTAATTTCATTCATACTTAGCTGTTAAGACCAATTCAGACATGTCAGAATATTTGATTTTTTAACTACCCTCTCTTACCTGATGACTAGGTTAAAGCGTCTTTCTGGGTATTTTATAGCATAAACCAATGAATAAATGCATTAAAGAGAAACTGGAAGTTTCTAGTGAATCCTGTTAACGAACCAAGCATTTTGTAGGAGATAAAGCCCTTTACTAACCCTGAGATGACAACCTCCTACTAGGACTCGGATGTGGAGAAAAGAGGTGACCGGGAGAACCTAATAGTATTGCGCCCCTGTTTCTGTGCACTCCTGCATTTAGATTATTTAAAAACTGTTAATAAGCTTTCCTTTGGAGAGAAAACATCCTGAACACCAGCTAAGTAATTCTGAATGCTTAAAAATGCCCCAAGATAAGGCATCATTAAAATAGAATCCTAGGGCTATTCAGGCTGAAACTATGAAAAACGTTAAGGTCAGAACCAAAAACTAAGTTTCTTCGGAAAGGTATTGAAATTACACGTACTGTTGATATGCCAGTGAGGAGAGATTTATTAAAGACTTTAATGGGCAAAAAGAAACTTTATATTCAGAAACATCAACTCATATTTAACCTGCCTTAAATTGAACGGAAAACAGCACTAATTTTGCTCACCTTTGGGTCATAGTCTGGATCATTTTCCTCATCTCCTTCTTCTTCCCCTTCCTATATTAAAGTTCAAAATGCATCCATGAAGTAGGTACACAGTAGGAAGAAATGGCTCATAATGTAGGGAGAATTTAATACAAGTTACTCTATAAGTCAACAGACTTTTCATGATTACAGAGTTTGGTGACAATGCAATTTAATTTGAAAGCTTCTAATATGAAAAATTTCCCAACACAACTTGAGACATCCAGACAGGTTTTATTGAAAAGATTTACTGCAGCCAACGTTGAAAAAGTTTACTGCAGCTTTTGACTTCTTCAAAGAGCTGATAACCCTGCAGCAGAACAGAATTATTTGAAATAAAAAAAGTGTTCTGAGTTTTGCAGTTTATTTATTGAAACCTCATACATACATTGCTTGGATGCAGAATTCTAAAACCACGTTTTTCCAAAAAACGTTTTTATCCCATATCATGGAATAATGAATATACCAATGGAATACATAAGTCACTCAATTTGCTTCTCAATGTGTTAAACTGAGAATTATTTGCTCATTTGGTAAACATTACCTCATCCGCTTCTTCACCTTCTTCATCATACTAAAAAAGGGAAAAAAAGATGACGTTTGAATGAAGCTAACAAACATCTGAAAGTAGCATTTACTTAATATCCACCACTGTATCCACTAATGTCTAAAAAAAGGAAAAAATACTTCGTTTGGCCACTGATTAAAACAAGGACAATAGCTACCTGAATCACCCAGCTCAGTGCTACGATCTAAACTTGACAACTTAGAAATAAAGAACACAGGATAATCATGGGTAAAGTATGATCAAGTAACTATGACTGTAAATATTACTTCAGTATGTAAAAAAAAAGGACCTAAAGCCTATTTGAATGATTGGCACTTAACAAGAAAGATGTCCAAAATATTGGAGAACAGCCTATTTTTACCTTAAATTGTTCCTTTGTATTTCTATGAATAAAAATTCTATGCTTTCTAATAAAGATTTTTATATCAGAATTAAAAAATGTCCATGGTTATGATCTGTTTGGTCAAAAACATGTAATGGAATTACAAGACCAACCCAACATACTGAAGTTTTACTACTGCAAAGTAGCCTTCCTAATAGTAGGAAAATAAAAGCTACAATAAACCAAGCACAAAGATTCCAACAAAATCTGTTTAAAACAATTCAAAAAAGTTACCGAAAAGGATGTAAAGTAATCAGCCTAATTTTGAATTATTGTGTCTTGCTTTTTAACAGCTCCATCTATTCATTAAACCTCTCACCAGTTCTGACTACCCACACCCACACCAAAGGATTTCACTGCAGGATTCAGATTCACTCACATCATCGTCATCATCTTCGATAGCTTCTCCAGTAAAGTATAACACTGATCTTGGGATTATACGCTCACGTAAAAAGTGACCAATTTCAAAGTCTGCAGCAAGGATAGCTTCAGAATCATCATCCTGTTAAAGAAAAACAGACGCACAAAATGTAATAACTTACTAAATCTGAAATATGTAGGACTGCTCGGTTTAAATCATTCATAGAAACTCTCAACTTCACTTTAAACACTTAAAACTAGCTCATGTGTGCATGATCAAATAGTCATCTTACATGTGCCTCAGCTTTACAGGTTTTTAATAAAAAGAAAATGTTAGGAGGTCACTGTACCTACTGATCATTGCTTAGTTTCCTCCAGTTTAAAAGTTACAATAGCAACTTTGCTACATGACCTCAATTTTCTTTTAAAGATATTATTGAAAACACCGAATGGAATAACAGTAAGGAACTTAGGCTCTTATAAATAAAATTATGTATATGGCACATAATATAGACCAGAGAGGATCACTTCATACTTTCTGAAAGAGACTTATCCAAGCAGCTGGGTAGTGCCAAATGTCACCAAGTCCTACTTGATAAAAACTAAGTCAATCTCAGATTACTACTTAATGGCAAAGTACAGCATAGAAATGCTGCTGACAGTATTCAAATTTAAAATTATTCCATAATACTAAAGTTCCAATTCTGTGATACTAAACAATGAGTAAATATTCTGTGAAATCCTGAATGTTTATTTTTGACCCATTAACACAATCCACTCTAGTAACAACAACACAGCACCCAAGGGCTAGGGGAGAAGACTTTCAGGGAAAATTCTAACCGCAGACAGAGATGTTCTATCCATAACTACTCAGGACTGTTTCTGTTACCATCAATACTTGGTAATAGACTTAGGCCAAATTCAAAACATGTCTAGCCTACACTGCATGTATAGATTTCTTTAAGGCTATTCCTCATTCCAGGCTGTATGCCAAGCACATTTCAGCTATATGATCACATGTATAAAACCAAATTTCTACTGGAATAATAACCACAGAAAGAAATCTAAGCAGAATGTGGTGTTTTGTAAACAGTATAAATGACTTAGAACACTCCATTTTCAATAAGGAAGAAAGCTTAACAGTTTGAAAACTTGAATCCCTCATGTCAGTATTTGCAAGTCTCAAAAGAAAAGAAAATCTTTAGCCTCCCACCATTTCTCAGTGGAAGCAGCAAAAGCATTTTCAATGGAGTAATTTTTCAGATGTGTAAAGGTCCTCTTCTCTGCATTACAAGCCTCAGTACAAAATACTAGCAGCCACTTTCCCACTCCTCACATTTGAGAACCGGTCTTTTAATTTTTTATATACAGTCCTTTAATTTATACATAGTGAACAATTAAACAAATAAACAATTCAGCTTACCAGATCTCCACTCTCAGGAACTGCAAAATTGAGAAAAGAAATTCAAATGAGTAACAAGTTACACAGAGCTTATAATAAAACAACCATAAATACTCAAAGTAAAACACTATTTACCTTCAGGAGGGGCAAAAAAATTAAAGAAAGAGTCGTTAGAGACTGTCTTGGTCACAGTACGAACTGTCCCACGTCCCTTGTGCTTCTGCTTCTTCTTAATCGTTTTCAAAGTGACATTCTTCCCTTTTTTCCAATCTATCTGGCACCTTCCAAAACAAAGGGAAAAGAATGTCTATCACAATTAACACATTTACTTTCAATTGCTGGAAAGCTGACATTTTTTTAAGTAAATGTTTTATTTTTCAATTTTAGAGGGGAAATTTGTGCTTCTTTCTGTAGCATAGTATATGCTACATATATATGTAGTATAGAAATTTTTATTTCTAAACTAATTTTTTCAACAAATATGTTTATAATTACCACAAACTCACAATATAATACATTTAAATGTGTACTCCTTTGGAAAAATATTATGGTCCATGGAGCATCCTGCACAAATTGGCAAGCCCTTCTCAGAAAACATTTTATTGAAATATTTGGAGATAAACTATGTATGTATGTGTGTACCAAGCAGACACACTAGAAATAAATATCACAAATAATAAGTAAAACAAAAATAGATGTAGCACTCTATTAAAGTAGTAAAATGAAACTCACCCTGTACAACCCATAATTTCTGGTCCATCAAAAGAAAAGGGATCAGAATCATCTGGTTCTGACCTCATCCTATATGTCTTTGTCAACACTTCATTTGTGAAATATTCATTGGGTTCAAAGTGAAATTCTAAGACAAAACTCTTTAAAAAAAACAAAAAAAAAGTCAAATTAAACTTTTACATGATAAAATTTCAATGCTTTAGTAAATAAAGCTTAATCTATGATTTTTATAAACATAAAATTTTAAGTGACAAAGTCCTATTCTGGGAAAAAGTCATGTAAAGAAATATTTCAAGATTCTTTTACCATAGGTTGACCAGCATCTGAGAACTTCACTTTAATATCTTTCAAGTGCTTCAGAATAGGTTCATCATGTTCTTTAAATTAAAAAAAAAAAAAAAAAAAGATCAAAACGAGTATCTAAATGGCATTTTAAGACTAGTATTCTTCTATTGGACGATATGCATTTAACCGACTGAGACATTTTATTGATGTTTTATGTATAATTATGAACCTTAAGATTTACTCTCCAGGTTATGCCTTACACTGAAGCTAGTTCAAAAATGTTTCCTGATCATAACTGCTACCATTTCCAGTTGCTTCTTGTTCCTTTACTACTTTGGTAAAAAACAGAAATGCAATAAGCTGTCATTGTTTTGAGATAGTTGCTTTTTCTTGACATTAACTTCCAACAACCACAACGTTTAACAAGTAATAATGCAGATGAAAGTGGCCCAAGAAATGATTCAGATTAGGAGAGGGAAAGTTTCCCAAAGGTGACATCTATATTGGTTTCCCAGAGAAAAGGACAATTATTAAAATAGGTAAGTAAAGAATCTGCCTGTCAATGCAGGAGACACAGGAAGACTAAGGTTCAAGCCCTGGATCGGCAAGAATTTCCTGGAGCTGGGAAAGGTAACCCGCTCCAGTATTCTTGCCTGGAAAATTCCATGGACAGAGGAACCTGGTGGGCTAGTCTATGGGGTCCCAAAGACTCAAATATAACTGCATGCACACACACACATGTTTACAGTGTTCTTTGACAATGTAAATATTCCTTGGAATAGTTTCAGACTGAAAAAGGTCTCTCTGGTCAGACAATCAAAACAACCCACCATAACCTCCATACTCTGCCATCTAAAACCAAAAGGCACAGGGCTATGTGAGAATTACAGTGGAATGAGCAATTATCTAAGAAACCATTTCATTATTTAATTTTTGGAAACGAATTGTAATCTATTTGATTACAGTAATCAAAGCTGCAATTCCCCTTCTACCAATAACAGCTCTTGCAAAGAGAGCCATCATGGGAATTCCCTTGCAGTCCATTGGTTAGGTTTCTGTGCTTCCAACGTGAAGGGCCCAGGTTTGATCCCTCATCGGGGAACTAAGATTCCCATAAGCCTTGGAGCACTCTTTTCCCCTCAAAGGCAATCATTCTATAAAAGTCAACAATACAGAGCCCAGTCATCACAGTCACTTACATTTCACAAGTTTACTCACTGAGGTAAACTGGTGTTTTATGAATAAAATTACCTGAACCATATCACTGAGCAAGTCAACATTCTTAAAAACGGTCAACCAAAACTCAGGAATTCCCTTGGGATCTTCTTTTTCTTCATCCTTTTTCTCATCTTCAATCTTGGCCTTTTCTTTTAGCTCCTCCTTAATAAAAGACAGCATTAATGAATGCTGGATATCTAGATTAGACAACTTGATAAAATGTTTTACATTCAGGACCCAACATACCTTCAACTAATTCTAACATTCAGCCAAAGAAATTCTAGTCTAATTATGTATATACTGCTGTTACCCACAGCAAACCTTTACTTCTATAAATACTTACCATACCATATCCCTCCCAAAACAAAGCTACTAGGACCATGAGCTGTAGAGAAAAAAATTTCAGCTTCATGGAAAAACAAAAAGACTGAAGCACAGTAAAGAGAAAAAGCAAAAGAAACATAAACCTTTGTTTACTGCTTCACTCATTTGTGCTCTTAATTAAAATATATTCTCTTAATCAAGGTTAAAACATGAACACTGGAGAAATATCACGTAACAGGGCACCGGATCTGTGTCACAGCTCTGCCATCTGTAAAGGTGGGCAGGCCACTTAGAAGCCTCCACCTCCACTCGAAAAATGGAAACAATCCTTTTGTATGTCATCATGAAGTTCAAAGTAAAAGTTTATATAAATCTATAAACTTTAATTACTATAAAAATACAAGGAAAAAGTAAATTTGGGTATAGACAGTGCCAGGCTAACAGTGGCTTATCTGCACTCATATCCATCTCACAATAAAAAAAAATTCCCAAAGTATAAAAACATACTAAAGATAATACCAACCGAAATTTCATCTTCCTCATCTGGTTTCCATTCACATTCTTCTTCTGTAGGTTCATAAATGGCATTAATGATCTCAAATCGCTGAAATGATTAAAAAAAAAAACTTGCATAAAAACTCTGGCATCCAAGCTAAAAACTGTTTCTCATTAACACTCATAGATTAAATGACTTCATACCACAAGCTGAACTATTATTACTGATAGTTTTCCCAAATATCTTTAATAACCATGTTGCTGAGAGGTCTAACAAGTTTGTTTATATTTCCAAAGCTTTATTATCTTCTTGAATTTTAGATAAATAAAGTATTAGAAAGCATTACCTTATCAAACAGAGGCTGATAAAGAACAGCATACTTTCTTTCAAGATCATGAACTTCCTCGTAGAATTTGGCTTCTATCTGTGCACATTTAACTTGAAGGTTTTTAAGAGCATTCACTCGTCTTTTAACTACCCTAGGCAAGCTGAAAGGTTAGAAAACACCAGTTACACAGCATCACAGTAAAACACAAGTCACTTTTGTCATATTGAAACTGAAGCATAAAAAAGTTAGTGAATGATGCTCATAGTTAGCAACATGCAGGCTCATTCATGTCCGATTCTTTGCGACCCCATGGACTGCAGCCTGCCAGGCTCCTCTGCCCATGGGAAGGACTCTCCTGGCAAAAATACTGGAATGGGTTGTCATTCCCTTCTCTGGGGATCTTCCCAGCTGAGAGATTGAACCCAGGTCTCCCGAATGGGCAGGCAGATTCTTTACCACTAAGCCACCTGGGAAGCCTTTAGTGAGTGACAGGTTTCCTATTTGAAGCAAAAGGTACATTCAAATACAGACCTCATGACCATTAAGCACTTCAGAAGAAGAGCAAATTTAATGCGGTGGAGTAAACCGATAAGAAAATGTAAATTGTATCACGAATCCTAAATCTCTCACTGTAATCAAGCCTTAGCACTGAGCTCTTCAGGGCTGGTATTTCAGGTGTGAAACAGTCTATCTCATAGTTAGAAAGTCATCAACTGACTACCCTGATAACCTGAATTATTTTTTAAAACATGTACAACTGAGGGAATTCCCTGGCAGTCCAGTGATTAGGACTCTGAGCTTCCACTGCAGGGGACACAGGTTCGATCCCTGGTCGGGATCTATGATCCCACAAGGCATGCCAAAATAAGTGAATAACCACAAATAAAATATGTACAGCTGACCCCTGAACGCAGGTTTGAATCACTTATATGCAGACATTTTTCAATAGTAAATACTACAGTACTACACAGTGTATGGCTGGTTGAATCCGTGGAGATGGAGGAATCAGATACAAAGGGCAACTCTTTATATCCTGTTATACACTATGTATATAGTTATACACTGATTATAGCTCCTTATTCTAGGGTCAACTGCATATCTCACCTGCGTCTATTATTATTAGGGGAAAGAAGCGGACCATATCTCTCTCTGGAAAAAGAACAATATCCTACAGCATGATTTTTTTTTTAGTCTCAGTATTTAATTTGGAATTTGAAATTACATTAAATAAGTACACAGTGTTTTATGAAGAGGGGAGGGGGATTTTTAAAATAACAGCTTTCCTGAAGTATAACTCATATGCTCCACTATGGGACATAGATTTTTTTTTTTTTTTAAAAAGAATATACACACCTAGGTTTATGAGCCCCTCAAAAAAATTACTAAACTTGTGAATCCCTCTAACACCCAAAAAACATTCACTCAGGCAGTTTGTACAACACATCCAAAATCCAGGTTAGAATTTCCTGCCGTAACGAATGGACTAGAGATTGACGTACTGGGTAAAGTAAGTCAGACAGAAGGAGAAATATTGTGTGACATCCCTTATAGTAGAATCTAAAAAGAAATGATACAAATGAACTTATTTACAGACAGACTCACAGAGAATGAACTTATTATGGTTGTCAGGGAGGAAGGAAAGTATGAGGGGAAAGGACAGTTAGCAAGTCTGGGATCGACACGTACACATAGCTAGACTTAAAACGGATTGCCAACAAGGATCTACTGTGTATCACAGGGAACTCTGTTCAGTGTTACGTGGAGCCTGGATGAGAGGAGAATTTGGGAGAGAATGGATACATGTATATGTATGGCTGAGTCCCTTGGCTGCCAACTTGAAACTATCACAGCACGATATTGTTGTAATCAAATTAATTCTCTTATCTAGCCACTTAAGGTAGGTAAAAACAAATAAAAAACAAAAACTTGAAGTATCAAGTTTTATTTCTTACAATTGAAAGTAAAATGTTCTGTCAAGGTAGTCTAAGAACTTGGTCACCTAGCTTTACCCTCAACTCCACATGTCAAGAAAAAAAAAAAAAAAAANCAGACTAAGGATTTAAACAAGAATGTAAATATATTTAAAGGGATGAAGGAGGATAGATACTATGAAACAAGACCAAGAACTCTAAAACAAGGTGTGAATACTAAGTGTTAGAAATCCAGTAACTAAAACAACCAACAAATAAGATAAACGAGAGGTTCAACTGAAGAACAAAAAAATCCTTAAGATTTAAAAGCTCTCAGACAGGCAGTCGTAAAGACAGAAAAGCTATAAGATATGGAGACATGGATGATAAATGTTAACAGCAGCCAAAAAAGAAGGGAGGTGGATTATTTGAAGAAATGAGTACAACAAATTTCTCAGAGTTAAAGAAATATGAAAATCCTTACTCGAAGCACTAGACACGTTACTGAGACATGTAACTATCAAAGACAAAACTAAATTCTAAAGGTGTTAATGAAAAAATCAAATAACCCATAAAGGAAATGGAATCAAAGTGACATCAGGCTTCAAAGGAAACACAAGAATATACAATATAGAAGAAAAAAAAATGAAGTGAATCTTTAAGATATTTAAGACTTGGAACCTAAAATTTTCAGATATGAAGACCAAGTAAAATTGCAGATATGAAGGTAAAATAAAAATTGCCTATGAGGCTTTAAGAAATATGCCACACACACTCATATTCATTAAAAATAATTTTGAGGAAGCAAAAAAAGAAATCAAGGAGATGTCACATAAAGTATGGGTGAATTAAAAATTGGTAAAATTTACTATTGCCTAGAAGAAAAAAAAAACAGATGCCTACAGGAAGTACATTATTTGTGAATTTAAGAGATCAGTAAGGGTAAATAAAGCTACTAGATTACAAGCCATTTTACTATAAGACAGATAAATTAAGTGAATGAAGATTTTTTTACACATCCATCCCAGAAACTGATAAAGCAATTAATCAATAAGCAGAAATAAAGAGACTCTGAGCAGTACAACTAATATGCCTAAGCTATTGACTTTGGCATATAGATCTTCACACTTAACATACCCGTAACGTTTATAAAGCTTTATAGCTGTTAAACGTTTTTTTAATTAACTGAACTAAACATGCAATCAAGAAACTGGAAAGAAGAATAGAGCAAACCCAAATAAGGAAATAATGTTAAAGGCAAGAGGGAAAAAAGCAGCAATAACAAAAATGTATGAAAATAGAAAATCAAAGACTGTTCTTAAAAACACTGAGACAACTGGGAAAACTAATGAAGATACAAAATACAGAATATGAAAGAGACAATTAGATTTTTTTAAAATATGAACTATATACTAATAAATTTGATACCTAGATAAAATGCATATTTTTAGAATAGAAAACTCCACAATGACAAAAGAAAAATTGAAGACATTAGTTTACCAGCACACATAAGCTCTCTTCACTAGTGAATAAGGTAACTCCCTATAAGTAACTAACTACCCTAAGTAACTACCCAACTCCTATTTCCAAAACTATATATTTAATATATAATTAGTAAATTCAAAGAAAAAGTAAAAAAATCATCACAATTTATAAAGGACAAAAAGACCATTAAAAAAATCACCAATAGACACCAAATCAGTGAAGAGATCAGAATGCTCATTTTTGATGCTAATGCTTAACACAATATTGAAAGTCCTGGCCAATGTTATCAAGAAAGAAAAATTACCATGGGGTGTGATACAATGTGGAAGATGAGAATTAAAACTGCCACTGTTTGCAGATGAGACTTTGGGGCTATGGGAAACATAAAAGAACAAATCACTACACAACAAGAACAGCAAGGTTTCTGGACACAAAATCAACTTTAGTACTAACCAACAGCACTCCTTTACCCGGAACAGCTGGAGAGGAACCGGCCACCCCTCCAGAATTCTTGCGGGAACCCCCAAGGACAGACCAGGCTGAGGGGCGACAGCACATGGGGTCATGACAGAGCTGGACCTGACTCGGCAACCAAGTACAGTGCATACATATATACGTCGAACAGCAAAATCAAGTCAGAAAAAGTCAGACAGAAAATACAGTGAAAGATAAAATAATAGTCACAATAGCAATACCAATACAGAGAAATTAACTAAGAATACACTGTAATAAAACACAGAATATGATCTGAATAAATATGAGGACAAGGACGAGACAATTTAATACCAAAAAGATAGTGGAATTTCTATCAAAATTTTAGTTTTTCTGTTTTTTAAGAAAATCCTAATAAACTCACCCTCAACCATACATGGGGTAAGGGGCTACAGATGGTAAGATCAATCCTATGAGTGTGTTCCATGATGGGTGGAAAATGGTAGGAGAAAGCAACTCACTATAAGATATGAAGACATACTCTGAACCCACAGTCATTAAGTGGGACGATGACAAAAGAACAGGCAAAGAAACAAGGAGAGTGCTGCTGAGAGACAAAGGTGTTTACGAGAATTGGATACCTAATAAAGGAGGTAACAGAAACACATGAGGAAATCGGGAACCGTGGAGGGAAGTGTTATAAAAACTTACTAACAAACAGAAAGCTGATCTGCAGAAGGATTCAAGGTCTAAAGGTAAAAGATAAAACTAATCAATAGGAAACATAGAAGGAGCAAGGAAAGACATCCTCAAAAGAACAAGACATAGGTAAAAAATTTAACAAACATAAAAATTAAGGACTCAGTGATGGACACCATGGACAAAATTAATAGAAATGACACAAAAAATTAGTTTCAAAGTCTAAAACTGAAAAACGATTAAAATCTAGAACACATAAGAACTCCTAGAAAACAAGAAAAAGACAGTAAACCCCCAAAAGTGAACGGGCCAAAGGGTACAAATGAGCAACCTAAAAGGCTCACTCCCAATTATATGCAAAGAAACTCAATTCATTAAAAATCAGAAAATACAAATAAAACAAGAGGAGCCTCCATCTCTTAGGCTGGTAAAGACAAAAACTATCAGGCCGAATGATGCCAACTGTTGGCAAGGACACAAGGATAAATCAACCTTCACATATCCTGGAAGTACTGAAGGCTTGCATATCCCATAACTATCAATCCCACTGGGAAGTACATACTCCAAAGAAACTCTCACACAACACCTTAAAAGGACATGCACAAGGATGACCATCACCATGGAATTTGTGTTGATGGAACTTGGAGACAATCCAGATGGCCGTCAAAGAAAAAGCATACAGTGAAGCATGGTGGACATACATCACAGAGAACCAGGGAACAGAGAAACTACTGACTAGAAACACATATAGACAGCAATGTGGGTAGATCTTAAAATCAAAGTTGTGTAAAAAAATATCAGAAGCAGAATAAGATATTTGGGTTATTACTAATAACTTTTATCACCAATGAAATAAGAAGTCTGTAGTTCTTCTAATTCTCTGCATTTCTAACAAATCTCTAAGCAAATCTCAGGGATGATTTAAGATTCATATACTTCCTATGGAGACGAACCAAAATAAACTTTAAAAGACCAACTCTAAATTGGTACTTAGCAAAATTTTAAACTCCCAATAATCCTATAATGAACATTAGTTTTCCACTGTGACATACATTAAGTCCCAGATGACCTTAAAAATATTCACCTGCAATGCTGATTACAGAAAGACAGACTATGAAAAAGAAGAACGTGTACCTTTCAATGTATCCTGTTGGTGTTTCTACCAGACCATCAAGTCTTTCTTGAAGGGCTGCAAGAATCTGAGGATTTTGCATCATCTGAACAGTCAGCTGACGCGCTTTAAAAAAAACAAAAGGGCAGCAAAAGGATTTTATGAAAATGTATTACGCTATATTAATAGGGCAATCCAATTACGAAGCTTTCCTGACTAGCCCATAAATCACTGGTATGAGTAGAGACGAACAGCAAGCTAAGGAAAATTCACTCTAGGAAAACCTAGTGTACAGAAAAAGTTCAGGTTCCTAAAGATGTCTAAGGCACACCACTTCTCAAGGCCACTGCCACACCTATTATGAACACTATCCTTTCTCTTCCTCCTGTGTGTTTTACCCACCTTGTGTTTTGAAAAGTTCAAAGATTCATCCAGATGCCTATCTGTGATCCTTGATAACCCTTTGAAGTCAGACAACACATAAGAAAACTACAAAAATAGCGACACTTTGAAGCCTGGGAGAAAGATGGTCAAATAAATGGCCTGAACGATTCTTTGAGCCTGTGCAATGTGTTTATGTACATCTGAACAAAGTTAACAGTTGAGATAGTCAAAGGCTGTACTAAAGCCAAACAAAAGTTGGTAATTAGTGGCCTCTAAAAATTATACTCCATCCAAAAATAATCTAGATTTATGCAAAACGAACTATTCTGCTATCTTATCTGCTGTCAATACAGACTTTACCAAAAAATTGCATTAATTTTCCCAGTTTATGTCTTTAAAGATCAATTTACTTCTAATAGTAATTTGACTATTGGATGATGTATAGTTGTGATAACCAACATGCTTTTACATGTACCAATACTGGCCATAAAGATACAGTCCTATATCATTAGTTCAGTAGTCTTTTCATAAACCTCATTCTGGCCTAAAAATGGAAGTCAAGTCATCTGGTACCTTGATATTCTTGGCCCCTTTATACCCTAAAGTAGTATAATTCCCCACTAACCATTATTACCCCTTTTAAAAATAATTTGCTAAAGAAAATGTTGAGTGATTTTTGTCTACAGTTAATAAATGTTCCTTTATTGGTTGGTTAGAACGGATTAAAAAAAGGCAGACACATACCACATATCCTCTACATGTTAAACATTTTCAGGTCTAAGCTAATGTTGTTTAGAAGCACCACCACCGACACCTCCTACCACTGCCCGCTGCCGCTGCGGCGCTTCAGTCCTGTCCGACCCTTGCGACCCCACGGACTGCAGCCCACCAGGCTCCTCCGTTCACGAGATTTCCTAGGCCAGAGCACTGGAGTGGCTTGCCACTGCCTTCTCCGCTACCACTACCTATGACACTTCCAAGTTCAGACAGAACTCACAGGCAGCTGTTTGACAAGACATAATGTCAAACCAGCAGCAGAGGGCACTCGCAGGGACCCCGGCCTGGCCACTAGATCCACACCTTCCTCTCTCACCCGCCTCCATCTCCCTCTTCCTCTCCACCCCCCCCCTCTCCCCCTCCCAAACACACATTCACACGTGGGTATGGCTAGTCAGCAAAGTGGATGGTATTCAAAATGAGAATTTTTTTACTCTGTTTATTACTGTGCTCTAGAAGAGGAGAGCCAGCAATCACTGGCTCCTGTAGTAATTTAAAAAAATACCTTTGATTTTTGTTTCTTCACCAGTCTCTTCTTCTTCTACTTCTTCAACATCATCCAAATCTTGATCAAGTTCAGACTGTTCTTTGCTACAATATTACAGTATCACACCAAGGTTCAAATGTACCAATTACCCAAAAAAAAAAAATTATAGAAAACTTCAATTCATTTTCTAGGTTAATATGCCTCTTTCAAATACATGAAACAGGAAATCTAAAAGGTAATTCAGTTTTCAAACTTCATATGTAAATAAGTACAAATGGGAAGTACTTAAAATTTCATTTAAAAGCTTTTCAAATATAAACTTTTAAGCTAAAAATGTGGTTTGATGGGTTGTCATTCAGAGATATAACACCAGAAAGTATGTGCTTCCAACTCAATATCTACTGATTTCACTCTTCCTAGTAACAGCACTCTTGATTTTATGAAATGGTAATACATCAATCTAACAAGTCTATGTATTCCAGCCTACCTTTCAGCTAGATGTGGCTATATAACCAAATACTGGCAGTGAGGTAAAAATGAGAAGCAATGTAGAATTTTACTATCCTCCTTAACAGGATGGTAAACAGGTGGAGGCTTTTTTGGTATTGCTCCCTCCCTACAACAAACAGGGATATGACAGCTAGTTCCAGCAGCCATGTAGGACCACGAGGCATCCTGGAGAATGAAGTCTCCAGCTAAGAATAAAGGAGTCTGAAAAAACAGAAGGATCCTGAATCTCTCTTAGCTGTAGAACAACCACATAAGCCTGTATCTGTCTTTTGGACTTTCCTTTTCTTTACTTCATAGTGGAGATGGAGAAGAACAGTAAAAGTTAAGGGGAAGACCTGACTACTTCACGCTCAGTAAAGCTAGGAGAAAGTAACAACATCCTTCCAATTTCATCTTAAAAATCTAGTTTTTTTACTGATTGTAAAATCAGTATTAAAATAAGGATATTTAAGTCAATATAAAGATCATCATACAATTCCTTAGGTAATTCTACATTTTAGTATTTGGTTTAGAAAATTAGTTGCTTTCAAGTCTTAAAAAAGCATTTGAAAAATTAATTTTCATCTAGGAACAAATACGACCTAATTTTCATACAGTGACAACTACAGGAAAAGTCAACTGTATTCTACACAAATTTGTTTCTGTCAACTAAGGGTGAAAAAAGCAGCCTTCCCATCAAAAGCAACACAGATTATTTTGGGAGTATCTTTTATTATAAAATTAAGCGTATTTAGAGCTAAGGTCACTAACTAAAGATAATATGGAACAGTTCTTCTCCCAGGCGTCACCTCATTCAATCACTTATTGAACATCTAAACTTTAAAGCTTTAAAGCAAGAGTCCACAAACTGTCACATGGCCAAATCCAGCCCATTTCTATTCTTTAAATAAAGCTTTACTGGAACGCAGCCACGTTAGTTTATTTACTGGCCATGGTTTCTTTCGCACAGCAGAACTTCCCTGGTGGCACTGTGGCAGCAGGGCTGAAGCGCTGCAGCAGAGACCACGCGGCCCAAAACACCCAAAACGCCCAGGGTCAGACCCTTTACAGAGCCTGCCGCCTCCTGCTTTGAAGAACAAGGATCCCCTCTCTTCCTCCCACCCTGCTGAGAGCTCACAGGCGCCCAACAGTGAATGATGGAGGGGGAGTGGGTAGGGCAGAATCAAGCTATCACAACCAATTTATTTCTTTTCTCATTAAAACAAAATGAAGGTAGATGGCAGACTGCACATATTCATCTGATCTTAATCCTTCTAAAATCTCCACTAAGATTATGATAAAGAAGTTTTTAAACAAATACTGAAGGACAGGGAAGTAAGAGCCAACGAATTCACTGAGAACTGAAATCTAAGTCTGTAGTGGCAGAGCTGAGAACCAGCCTAAAGTGTCTTTAAAAAGATACAACTAGAACTAGGGCTTGGTGGTGAAGGTGGATAAAATAGGGAGGATAAGCAAAACCTGACAAACAGTTAAATCTTAGGATGATCTCTCTCTCTAGCAGAAGGGGACTGAGTTCAGACGAGCTCAGAGGAGAGGACCACAGAGAGAAGCATACTAGAATGCTGGATACAGACTTTCCTCCCTAGCTGCCCTCCCCCAGGTTAGCCCCCCCAAACACTCTTTACTGGCACGTGTGACCAGCCCAGGAAAAAAGCACCATTCTAACACCGGGGATTCTCACAACAAATACCCACCCTGATGGGTATTAAATTGATTAATACTAAATTGCTAAGTCCTTCCCTCCCCAATACTCAAACTCTCTAATTAGCTTTAAAAAAAAAAATCCTTCAACTATGCATTCCCCCCACCCAAGTCTTAATGAGCAAACAAGTATTACTTCCTATCCAAGGAAAGCCTCCTATACTGAGACCAAAACAGAGGAAAGAAAAATTTAAGACCAAACAGACAACACAAGGGAATGAATATCCAGAGAAAAGATATAATCAATGAAATAAGAACAAGATGCTATAAAAACAGGAACAGAGAGCAAAGGAATGTTTGAAAATTAATAGAAATTTAGAAACTCAACAAGAGTTAAAAGATAGTTTCTTCTGCTTTGCTCAAAATGAGCAAAGAGACAAAGACAGAAACTAGAGCAAAAAGAAGCAGTCCAACACATAACAGAAGCTCTAGAAATAGAAAACAGGAAGAAGACATTCAACAAAGTCAGTCAAGAACATTCCCCAGAACTGACAGATATCCAGTTGCAAGACTGAAAGGGTCCACCACTGTATGCCTAACACAAGAGATAAACACAGAAACCTAACAATGTAAAATTTCTGAACTCTGAAGCCTGAGTAGCTTCCAGAAATAGATATATATGTCTGGTTTTTTTAAGTGTCACATACAAGTGAGTAAGAACTGTGACAACTTTGAAATTCAACACGAGAAGCAAGCCGACAATGGAGGAATGCCGTCAAGATCCTAAAGGAAAGTGACTCCCAAATCAGAATGCTAAGTCCAGACTATCCAGCAGAAGGGCAAACAGTTGTTTTCAGGCATGCCATCTCAAAACAATTCACTTCCCTTGTACTCTCCTAAGAAGGTGCTAAACCCAAAGTACAAAAAAAGAAAACATGGGATTATAGCAGACTCGAGCGGAGAAAAAGAAACCCCAGGAAGATAAAATAAATCCACAACGCCAACTGTGAAGCCAAGGTCAAGCAGCCCACACGGGGCAGTGTGACTCGGGAGGCCGTCACTGACACGCACGCCGCCACGCTCCTTCATGAGGAAGACAGTGTGCACGGGGGGACTGGCCAGATCCTTAGCAGCACCTCACGTGCCGCCCTTGTCATGAAGTTTCCGCCCTCCCACCTCCATGCGCTGCTGCCTACAACAGCTGTGGGTGATCGCCTTCTAACCCCTTCATCCTGAAAGGTTGTTTTACCTACTCCTTTGAGTTGGCAGACTCCCATGGAATTACAGACAGTAACAAACAGTGCAGCTCATCCCATTCTCCTTGACCATGCTTCCGCAAGACACCCATCCACACTAGAAGCCTGCCAGATGCTGACAGCAACACACCTATGTTTCCAGGATGTGTGACCTTGCCCAGTGCCTTCTTCAAAATAAGCCTTTGTAAAGACTAAGGAGAGCTGAAGGCAGGCAGTCTGTTCACTTTTTATTTTCCTACTTTTGACTCCTCAGCTATATTGCATTTTTTCTTTACACAGCTAAGTCTGTGACTGCTATTTAGAGTTTCAAAAGTAAATACTGATTAAGAATTTGTAGGTGCTGAAACTCTACAGAAAAACATAGAAGTTAAGTGAACTAGACAAAGCCAGGACAGTACTGACACGTCTGGAGAAAAAAGGAGGATGCAATTGAGAAGGGTCACACAGGGCGCATCTAAGAGTAATGCTGCAATTTTTAAAAACTTGTACACTAGTGTCCTGTTGTTCTTTCAACTCTACACATTAACTTTCATAAACTTATCTTTATATATGATACTTTACAATGCTAGTAGTAAAACCTTTGAGAAATGGTAAAAAACAAATTCTCCAAATATTTATGACTCATTATTGAGCTCAGCACTTTCCTAAGAATAAACACTGACAAATGGTTTACTATATTTATGACAGTGATTGTCTTGGATACACTGTACCCAACTTTTAAAATAGTAGGTACTAAGCATTAGTCATTACCATACATTTTCATAATACATAATTAGTACTGCTGTTAATTAAATCACACAGTACAGAATGAAGCCAAATCTCTGAAAAAAGAACCAACTTTCTGTCACTTACTTGTCGACGTCTGCCATGTTGTACAAATGCCAAATATCTATGGAGAGAAATATCAATGTTAAAAAAGTATATATACAATTCATTTAAAACCAATAAAAACCTCTGAAATCAAATCGTTACCATGCTAAAGCTATCTAAAATATATATATACACACTCCCATTAAAAAAGAGTAAGTGTTTAAAAAGCAAGGGGCAGGGAGGCGGAACACTGACACGAGCCACTGAAGTGATTCTTCAGAGGATGCTCCTTAAAACAAGCAAGGTACCACTTGGCGTTCAGAATCTCTTCGGGCAAGGATTTTTACAACAGCACTGTTGACTACAAGAACCTAAGGTATGCTAGAATCACAGGAAAAGAATACAGAGACTTTATTCAAACTCCTTTAACCACAAACAGTCACGCTGGGGCTGCTTAGTACCCCATAGTACTCTGAGGAGTTTGCTGATGTATAGAGATCCATGAAACCATCAAAGTCAGTGTAAGGAATATACCCCCGCCTTGACAGAATACCTCCCTCCTCCCCTTCCTGCCTCCCATCCCAAGCAAGTGTTGCTCTGCCTTCCGTCACTATAGCTTGTATTTTCTGGAATTTTATAGAAATGGCATCAGAGTATGTACTTCCCCCCCTTGGTCTGGCTTCTTTCATCCAGAATGAGATTATCTGTGTTGTAGTACTTACCACATAGTTCATTACTTCTTACTGTATACGGTATTTCATTAAAAACATACATTCTGTTGTATGTTTAAGTTTTCAGCTGTTGATGGACATTTGGGTTTTCTTTGTGGGGGGTATTACAAACAGAGCCGCTAAAAGCATTTTCGTCTTTGTAGGGACAAATGGATTTGCCTGGTGGCTCAGACGGTAAAGCATCTGCCTGCAACGCGGGAGACCTGGGCTTCAATCCCTGGGTCTGGAAGATCTCCTGGAGAAGGCAACGGCAACCCACTCCAGTATTCTTGCCTGAAAACTTCCATGGACGGAGGAGCCTGGTGGACTGCCGTCCATGGGGTTGCATAGAGTCCAACACGACTGAGCAACTTCACTTTTACTTTCTTTCAAAAACAAAATGGTTTACTTCTCTCAAACCCACTCGATTTTTTAACAGTATTAATTTTATCAAATTAATGTTAAAAGCCAAAATCTGCCACATACTGCACTCATGATTCCCTGGAGATGTCTTTTCCCCCTAAGTTTAATAATTCCTGTCATTAAATGTCAGCCCTCTAAACTATTCAGTAACAGCAATAGAGCTCTGGTCCAGATCCGCCAAGTATCACTCTGCACCCTTCAAACGTCCTTACTGCCACACCACTGAGCGCTGCCACGCCCCCAGCTTACGCTGAGCGCATCAGCACTGTCCACAATGTCCTCGGTTAGCAGGGCTTCCCTGACGGCTCAGACATCAGACAATCCACCTGCGATGCGGGAGACCTGCGTCTGACCCCTGGGTTGGGAAGATCCCTGGGGGAGGGCATGGCAACCCACTCCAGTGTTCCTGCCTGGAGATCCTCATGGACAGAGGAGCCTGGCGGGCTACCATTCACGGGGTCCGAAGAGTGGGACACGACTGAGCGACTAAGCAGTTAGGACTGGCCAGAGCATATCCTAGATTCGTTCACACTATAGGATTAGGGTTAACTCAGAGAAGACTGCTTTGAAAAAAACAAACCTCAGGACAAAATGTGCTACATTCATCCAGAAAAACCATGGGTAATGCAGATTTACTTCTTTAATAAACTTAGTTTCTTCAAAGCAGGTCTGCCACCAGGACACAGGTGTGGTAAAGACCACCACTAAGCCTGAGCAAAAATGGGGAAGACGACCCAAATCAACACTGCTGTCACCGGACATGGAGATTCGGAGAAGTCTACCACTGCTGGCCACCTGATCTACAGACCTTGTGGGACTCACCAGGAAACCATGGAGAAGTTCAGAAAGGAGGCTGCCAACATGGGGAAGGGCTCCTTCAAGAACGCCCGGGTCTAGGACAAACTGAACGCTCAACACTGAGTGATTATCATCAATGATATCTCCATGTCCGTTTAAGACCAGCAAGTACTCTGTGACCATATCTGACACCCCAGGACACAGTGGTTGATTAGCCACTAAGTTGTGTCAGACTCTCTTGCGACGCCATAGACTACAGCCCACAAGGCTCCTCTGTTCATGGATTTTGCTTTTCATGGGATTGCCCAAGCAAGAAGACTGGAGTAGGTGGCCATTTCCTCTAGGGGATCTTTCCAACCCAGGAATCAGACCCACAGCTCCCCCACTGGCAAGCATATTCTCTATCACTGAGCCACCGAGAAAGCCCCCCAGCACAGAGAGAGTTCATCAGAAACAACTACAGGCACGCTCCGGTGCCTGTGCTGCTGAATTTGAAGCTGGTCTTTCCAAGAAAGGGCAGACCACGAGCAGGCCCTTCTGGCTTCCTTTCTGGGTGTGGAACCTTCGTTACGCTGCAGGTAACGAAATGGACTGCACTGTGCCACCCTACACCCAGAAGCGATAACCGCCCAAGTCGTCAGCACCTCCATTAAAAAAACCTGGCTACAATCCCAACACAGAAGCATCTGTGCCAATTTCTGGTTGTCATGGTGACAACATTGCTTGAATCAAGTGCTACGATGCCTTGGTTCAAGGGATGCCAAGTCACCCATAAAGATGGCAATGCCCATTGAACCACACTGCCTGAAGCTCTAGACTGCACCCTGTCACCAACTTGCCCAACTGATAAGCCCTTGTCTTTGCTCTTCCAAGATGTCTACAAAATTGGTGGTACTGGTACTGTCCCTGTGGGTCAAACACTGGTGTTCTCAAACCTGGCAATGTGGTCACCTTGCTCCAGTCAAGCAAACAACTAAGTCTTTTGAAATGCACCATGATGCTTTGAGTAATGGCCCTCCTGGGGACAACGTGGCCTTCAAGAACATGTCTGTCAAAGATGTTCTTCGTGGCAATGTGGCTGGTGACAGCAAAAATTACCCACCAATGGAAGCAGCTGGTTTCACAGCTCAGGTGACAATCTTGAACCATCCAGGCCAAAATCAGGGCTGCAAGCGTGCTGAAGACTGGGCGTTCTGGGGAAAAGCTAGAAGGTAGCCCTGAATTCTTGAAATCTGGTGACGCTGCCATTATTGATATGATTCCTGGCAAGGCCACGTATGTTAAGAGTTTCGCGGACTATCTATCTGCCTCTTGGCCGTTTTGCTGTTCGTGACATGAGACAAGCAGTTGCTGTCAGTATTAAAGCAGTGGACAGAGATGGCACCTGGAGTTGGCAAGGTCACCAATTCTGCCCAGAAAGCTCAAGGCTACATGAGTACTACCCCCAATACGTGCCACCCCAGTCTTAGTGGTGTTTGTCTCAACTGGCCATTTAAGTTTTTACAGTAAAAGTCTGGTTAATGGTAACTGCATTGCAAAACCTTCAGAAGAGTATTTTGTGAACCATTAGTTTTGTGTGTGGCAGTTTTACGTTATTAGCTTTTAAAGTCAGTACTTTTTAATGGAAATGACCAAAAATCTGTCATGGAATTTTAGACCCATTAAAAAAGTTTAATGAGGAACAAAACAAAAAAAAGGCTTAGACTCCCACATTGAAATCAGTTTTTAATGTTTGGAGAATTAAAACCTTAATCTTTTAAAAAGCATTTTACTTATTAATCTGGCTGCAGCGGGTCTCAGTCGTGGCGTGCAGACCTTCGCTGGCCATGCGGCACGCTGGACCCCCGGCTGCGGCACAGGGCCTCCAGAGCACAGGCTCGGCAGCCGTGGCCCACAGGCGTCTGTGCTCCGCGGCATGTGGCGTCTTAGCTCCACAACCAGGGATCAAACCCACATCCCTTGTATTGCAAAGTGGATTCTAAACCACTGGGCCACCAGGGAAGTTCCGAAACCTTAGTCTTTCACTCACAAAAAGTGACAAGATTTGATTACTCGTATCAATATGCTTAACACGCTTTTCACTTGAAAAAACTGAGTTACTAATTTTAGCAGTCAAATGCTACTCTTTGGAGCATTATTACTAATACAACATCAATCCTTTAGACAATTATAAAGGAAATAATTCTTCCTACTGTAGCCTACTCTAATTTTAAATATTTTCTATTTACTGTAAATAATCTCTTAACAGCACTGATGTATTTCTCTAGCGATGCTGGTTAGTTAAGTCAGCATTAACAAAACACATAGCAAAAAACTACGAATATGCTAATTCAAAAATAATGAATCAAACACAAGTGGGCTTCAGATCTATCAGATCTGCAAGGGTTTTCTTTTAATGCAGGGAAAAGTATGGTGAATATGCATTCTCAAATATGGCTACTGTTTATAGAAACGATTTTCTTTCCTTGAGTGATGTATTTTTGGTGGTGCTGGGTCTTCACTGCTGCACACAGGCTTTCTCTAGTTGTGGTGAGTGGGGGCTATTCTCTTGCTGTGACTCTAGAGGTTGTGGCAGGTGGGTTGAGTTGATCCAGCCGTGTGGAACCCTCCTGGACCAGGGCACAAACCCATCTCCCCTGAATCGGCAGGCAGATTCTTAACCACTGCATCACCAGGGAATTCCATAAACTGTTATATTTCTGGAGACCAATTTGGCTATGGGAATAACAAACACTTTAAAGACATCCATCTCCAGACTTAGTTATCCAATTTGTGAGAACCTACTCTGAAAAAAAAGAAGTAAAGGATCTAAGGGCCTGTACACGCGTCACGTTGGTCTAATAGGTTCTTCTAAAATCCAAGTCCTACATGTTCTTTGACTCTCAGCTCAAAGTTTTAGTTTTTCAAGACAAAACAGACTGGCATTGACTCCTTCAGAGATGCCTTCTCCAATCTGTACATCTTGGCTAATTAAGATTTCTTGGTTGTACACCCTCTTATAAAGCCCCATTTCTTTCCATCATAAGATATCTCCAGTGTGTAATTATAAATTATTGTGATTATTTGACTAGGGTCTGTCTTCCACCACTGACCAGACCATAACATTCATGATTACAGGGATTATATCTGCTTTTTCCAATCACTGCAT